CTGAACGAGTATTGGCCTATTGTATCACGCGTATTTTATGCAATTACAGTAGAGCGCATACCCACAGGAAAGCAATCTTGCCTATCAGTTATGTCCTGAAAGTTTTCCAAAGATTGTGTGCAGGAATTTTACTGCAGATTTGGATCCTACAGTATCCAACTGAATTATTTACAGCTGTAAATAATTCAGTTTGCTGAATGCGACCTCCATAGTCATAAGCGAATATAGTTTACTAAGAAGATTGAGAGTGTGCCGAAGAGTTTTCTGGAAGTGCGGTGTCATTTATGCTACAGTTGATATTTAAAACTTAACTTTCGCAGTCTTACTTAAGTATGCTTATCAGGTGATAACCACCGAGTTGAATATATAAACATTTAACTAGAGTGTGATGTAAACTTTGCTAGCAGAGTTACAGGCTATTTATCCATCCTGTTGTCCAACGTGTCTTATTCAACAAATATGTTCGGTACTAATAACAGAATGTTTAAGGGAAATATATGCCAAAACTGCCAGCACCATGCCCGGATTTCTGGGGCAATCCAGGGGAATCTAGGGGCGAGAGCCTTTATGGATGAACTATATTTACTGTATGAATTTTTCAAAATCTATTATTTTGTAAAAAAATCAATAACTATTATTTCGCGCCTTGTCCTTTGACAACACATTCAAAACGGGGGTTGAAACGAGAAAAGAGGGGCCTCCCGCTGCGAAAATATTTTCCGGAGGTGAGTCAATATGGGTTGAAAACCCTGTCTTCGAACTTCTTAATTAGACGAGGACGTTAAGTTACTTCGTCTGTCATCTGGCGCGACCAAAATTTGAAATTATTTATGAATCTGCACAGAACTAGTTTATACAGATCCGATCTAAAGGCTAATTTATTTAGTGATAAGAAATCTGCTTGTCATGCTCTTCTCTACAATATAGAATTTGTAAACCTATTTTTGCTAATGCAAGCAAACATGCGAGGCCCAGCGATCGAGTTGTCTTTTACTTCTCAAAACTATTTTTGTCAGAGAAATATAGTTATGGACAATTATTGAAAGGCGGATTGCAGATTACAGAAGCACATATAACCGATTAGGTTCTGTCCCTTCCTGTATTGAGGAACTTAACACATAAGAGAA